TCTATCTATCTATCTATCTATCTATCTATCTATCTATCTATCTATCTCTTTATCTATCCATTTGTGTGTGTGTACTATATGTCTCTGTCTGAATACATAGTATCTTTAGACCTTAGAGGTCATTCAGTCCAAACTTTACCTGAAGCATGAATCTACTCTACAACTCCCTGACAAAGGGTCATCCAGTTTTGCTTGAATACCTATAGTGATGGGGATCTCACTACATGGTGGGGTTCAAATACTCCCTACCCCAGGAAGCCGGTCGGTTTCCTCTCGGTCATCTCATTCTCAGATTATAGGATTCAGGATCGGTCAGCGACCTTAGAAAGCTCTAATTTGTTCAAAGTTCATTGTCGCAGCGAGCCAAAATCTATTTCCCTATCATTTCCCCTCATTGTTCGGTGCTCCTCCTCTGGTATCAAGTAGACTAAGTTTAACCCTTCCGTGTGACTCCTCTCCAGGATTTGATTGACAAGGTTATTGTCTCTCCCTCACCCCTTGTCCGTCTCTCTCTAGGCTAAGCACCTGTTGCTTCTTCAACGTTATGGTCTGGAGTCCCCTTCCTCTCTTAGCACTCCCCATCGGCACAGTTCTGATTTGTCAATGTGCCTTCTAAAATTTGGGAAGTCAGCCCGACACTAACAGTCTGGCTGGGGCAATAACGGGAGAGGAACCTCTCTGTGCCACTGTGCTGCTGTTAATACAGTCTAAGGGGGTTTTGGCTGTCATCGTACTCTGGTGGCTTGGACTAAATCTGTTGTTGTTTTCCAGTCATGTCCAACTCTTTGTGACCCCATTTGGGGTTTTTTGGCAAAGATGCTGTTTCTTTCTCCAGGTCATTTTATAGATAAGGAAACTGAGGCAAGTAGGTGACTTGCCCAGGGTCACACAGCTAGTAACTGTCTGAGGCCAGATTTAAACTCAGATACATAGATTCCAGGGCCTGCTCTCTATCCACTGTTTAGTCACCTCTCTCAAGTATTCATGTCCCCCAGTTTTCTCACCTCGGCCTCTTAAGCTGCCTTACCTTTCATGTATTTCTGTTTGTTGAAGCACTTTCATATACATGGTTAAATCCGCATCATTTTTTCACATCCCTTCTTCACCTTAGTGTCTGTATTCTATCTCCGCCGCTCTTAGATTGCCTGGGGAAGACTCAGGGTGGACATGAGAGCTGTCTTAAAAGGATCGGAAGGCTATCGTGCGGAGGAGGGATGGCCTGAGACGGTAGTAACGAGTGGAAGGTGCAAAGGAAAAAAGAGTGGGCTTGATGTTGGGGAAAACTTCCTAACCAAGTAGAACTATCCCGGTGTAGAAGGAATAGGCCTCCTCTGGACCCAGTGGCTTTTCCCTCTCTGCGGAAGTTTGGAAGGAAGGGCTGGTCAGATATATTGTATGATGTATGATCAGGTATATTGTAATGGGTATTTTGGAGGTATGAGTTGGGCTAGGAGGCTGCTAAGATCCCTTCCAAGGGGCAGCTAGGTGATGCAGTGCATAGAGCACTGGGCCTGGAGTCAGGACGACCTGAGTTCAAATCCAGCCTCAGATATTCACTAGCTGTGTCTTCCTGGGCAAGACACTTAACCGTCGACTGCCTCGGTTTCCTCATTTCTAGAATGGGGAAAGTAATATCGCCAAGGGTTCCCAGGGTTGTTGTAAGGATCAAATGAAATGTTTGTAAAGTGCTTTGCAATCTTAAAGGGTTATAGAAATGTTAGATATTTCAATGCTCTTTGGTCCATTGTGCTGCCTGTCCAGATCCAGATAGATCACAGTTTCTTAGGGTTTAGGGGAGGAGAAAACGCCAAAGAGGCCAAGGAGCCCCTGGATCCGGGGCTGAAAAGCCCAGTGCTATGGCCATTCATGCTACTTTCCCCAATAGCCTGGTGTGGCTGGGCCATGCCATGGTGTAATTACTTGTCCAAGCTGATTAAGGAGAAAATAAAATTGAACCCCACAGCCATGTTTGACTTTCGTGACTGCCAAAGCAGGGGATCGGAAACCTTCATCTTTATTGTTCTTGCACTCACAGAACTCCAGCCCCCCAAAAGTGGCCAAACAGATGTTTTTCCCATTTGACGTACGGGCTTCACTTCCTAGCTGGAGCTGTGAGTGCCAAGTTTCAGCCCAGAGCACGTTTTTTATGGCTAAGTTATAAACCCCTGACAATAGGGGGTTATAATGAAATGCTGACAGACCCCTGTGTGCCAACAAATGGGATGGCTGAGTGCAAAAGGCGGATATTTGCCCAGCGAGGTCCAGCTGGGGTGGTGGGAGTCATCCCGGGGACAAGAAAAGTGGTTTTCCCCTCACTCCTCATGTCCCTGTTAGTTTCAGGCCCTGACATGCATTTCTTAACTTTAACTCCCATCCAAGGGAAGGTAGATGTCCAACAACAAACTCAGTGGAAAGGTTGGTCAGTCAATTGCCAAAAAAAGACAATCCTTCAACTCTGGTCCAAGACCCAATCCAGCCAACAAGTCTGCCCTGCCCAGGGGGAAGGGGGGCTATGTCCCCTGAAGCAGAGAAAACCACCAAAGCAGCCTGGAGCCAGAGGCAGAATTACACTAAACAGCATCGAGACTGTCGGAGGATACTACTTATCGTTGGCCTCACCCTGCTCTGGGATGGAGCAGGAAGTAAAATGGAGAGGGGGAAAAGGGGGGAAACATGAAACACGTCTCCAGCCAGGCTATTTGACTCCATAACAAAGGGCATTTACCCTAAGTACAGATCCCCCGAATACTTATTGTATGTGATCTCTGCATTAAGGCTAACAGCCCCACTCTCCCCTTTCACTACCTAGAGCTTTGTGGGTAATGACATGGAATAAGTTGTCATGGCCTCAAATTTGTTTGTTGAAGCCATCTTCTCCCCAAAGCTAACCATATAATGTGTATTTTGCTCTGCTTGAGGGTCCTAAAATCCTCAACCATGGAACATTAAAGCTGGAAAGAACCTTAGAACTTAGTAGTAGTAGTAATAATAATTGTTGTTCAGTCATTTTTCAGGCCTGTTTGATTCTTTGTCACCCCATTTGGATTTTTCTTGGCAAAGTTACTGGAGTGGTTTGCCATTTCCATCTTCAGTTCATTTTACAGATGAGGAAATGGAGACAAACAGGGTTTAAATGACTTGCCCAGGATCCCACAGCTAGTAGTTGTCTGAGGCTGGATTTGAACTCAGGTCTTCCTGATTCCAGGTCCAGTGCTCTATTCAAAGTACCATTTTGCTGCCTCAACTTGAACTGTCAGAAATGAGGTTCTTGCCCAAGATTATTCCACAAACTACTGACTGAACAAATTGGGAACCAAAGCTCAGGTAGTTTGCTCTTGTGGGCCATTGGGGCCAAAGGAATATAAGGTTATAGGGCTTAGAGTTTAAAGACCATATAATACAACTAATTCATTTTGCAGATGAGGAAACTGAGGCCCAGAGAGGTAAAGAAATTCCCTCTCCCCATGATTCAGGTGGTAAATAGCAGAACCAAAGGAGAATATCTCATCCTTAATTTGTCGATGGGGAAAAATGGACCAGAGGGAGGAAATCTGGTTGAAGCTATGAATAGACCTTCCTCTATACATGGTGCCTTGGATACCGGCATTATCTCGAAGGAAAATAGAAGGTTGAGGCACTACTTGAAGAATGTGTTTCACTGGCAGGGAAGAGAAGAGGAGAAATGAAATGCTTTCTAGAGAAGCTTGGTTTTCTTGGATATTAACTGAGATAAGAATGACCTTCCAGCTCTTTTCATCTCTTTCTCCCCCAGACTACATGCATTTGCCTCATTGTGCCTACTACCTGGCACTCCTAATTCTGCCCTCCAAGAACAAGCAGAGTAAGTCTTGTATTCCTCTTCACAGGACAGTTGTACAAGTAGTAGATGACGGCTCTCAAGTTGCCCCCCAAGTCTTCTCTCCTAAGACAAGGGTTACATGTGTCCAGTTTCTTCAGGTTGACCTTATATGGTGTGGACTCAAGGCCCATCATCATCTAGGTTGCCTGCCTTTGGATACCCTCTAACTTATCAATGTCTTTGATTGGCACAAGACTGAGCATATTCCAGATAAAGTCTGACCAGGGCAGAGGATAGAGGAATGATCACCTCTTTATTCCTCAAAATTATACTTCTTTTAAGGCAACCCAGGACTTCATCACTAGCATTTCTAGCTTGCACATCAGACTGTCAACTTATATGAGCTTGTGGTCCATCGAAACCCTCAGATCTTTTTCTGACAAAATATTCTCTAATTGTACTTCCTTCCCTCCTGTACTTATCGAAAGGTGTTTCATCGCTCGGCAATGACACTACCTGACATTTGACCCCCAAGTCAGTCCTTTCTTTGTTATTATTGTGCAGTTTGCTGGTGAATCCATCCAAATGGGCTTCAGGTTCTTTTGCTATTTTGCAGGAACTATAGTAGGAGATGCCATCATGGTGTACAATGCATAAAGGGCTGGCCTCAGAGTCAGAAAGACCTGGGGTCATGTCTTGCTTCTGAGATGCACAGGCTGTGTGACCCTGATCAAGTCATTTATACTTTTATTGACCCTCAACAACTCTCTAAGATGATTAGTGGTGGGTGGGGATTCAGGCATTGATCTATCTTGGGGGAGGGAGTCCCCTCCACTGATAAAATCACAGGTCTGATGAGAAAAAGCAAATGGACTAAGAGAGAAGTCCTTAAAGCCTTAGTATCCCATCCATGAATATCCCACGGTGTAATAATAATGATGATAATAACTGATATTTCTTAAAGTTTGCAAAGTACTTCATATTTATGTGTGTTCTCTCACCCCAGACCTATGAAATGGGTGCTACAGGTCTTATCATGCCTATTTCACAGGTGAGGAAACTGAGGCTCAGATGGGTTAAATGAGTTGTAAATGGTTACAAGGTTAGTAAATACTAGAGATGAGATTTGAACTCAGGACTTTCTGACTCCGTATCCAATACTCTAGACACTATAAAATTCCACCTCAGAACTGGGTTGAAATTTCACCTCTGACTCTTAACTGTCATGTATAAGTCACTTAACCCATCTGAGCCTCAGTTTTCCCATCTGTAAAATGGGCATGATAAGACCTGTAGTAGCCTCACCACAAGATTGTTCAAATGAGGGAGTAAAAGACTTTGCCCATTTTAAAGGACTATGGGAGTCTGTTATTATTAAAGGAGAGTCCCTCAGGCCAAGGATGGGCTGGCCACATTGTAGGGTTGGGGCAGGGAGGTATAGTTGTTCATAGAGAGTAGGCTGGGTGTGTGTTCCATTCTGATCCAATGGGAATTCTCCCAGGGGGAGCTGCACACCTGGCCCATGCTCTATGTAGACCTGTGTGGGACAGCAAGACAATGATGGGAACATGGATTTCCCCAGCTTTGAGAAGAAAGAAAACATTTTTTGTCCTAAGGGGAATTTGATGGAGATCAAGGGGTGCCTGGCCCGCACTTTGGTGGCATCTCCTTCTAAATGAGGACCATGCTATTTCTTTTCTAGTAATGTCTTCAAGTCCTACAGTTGGCTCTTCCAGTACATCCTCCATCCTCCCGTTTTCGTCTTCCGTCTTCCCAGCTGTCAAACAGAAGAGTGCCTTTGCTCCTGTCATTAGACCCCAAGGCTCCCCTTCTCCGGCCTGCTCTAGTGGAAATGGAAATGGATTCAGAGGTAAGAAAGATAGCCCCTTGGGAGCACATGCCCAGAACTCCTGTCCATGGGCTCACTAAGCCACACTGAAAGTCACCAGCCTCACTCCGCTCTTTGGCATCCATCGACAAAGACACTTTTGGTTTTTCAATCAAGAAATACTTGGAGGTGATCAATTTCCATTAAAATGTGGAGTAGGAAACAGACAGATTCAGCAACATCTCCAAGTGCCAGTCATGGCTTAGTCCAATCCAACAAACATTTATTAAACACCAGTGATGAGCAAGATATTGTGCTAAGCCCAAAATGAAAAAAAAATAGATTTCCAAAAACTTACATTCAAAGGGAGAAAGAGTAGAACAAGGACAGAGATAAGCATATATTTTGAGGAAGAGGGAACAAATCTTTTTTTTTTTTTAAAGGCAATTGGGGTTAAGTGACTTGCCCAGGGTCACACAGTTAGTGAGTGTCAAGTGTTTGGTCTGAGGCCGGATTTGAACTCAGGTCCTCCTGACTTCAGGGTTGGTGCTCTATCCACTGCACCACCTAGCTGCCCCTGGGAACAAATCTTAACAGCTGAATATCCAGAAAGGAAATTCTCTGCCCCTTCCCTTCTGCCTCTTGGTTTACTAGGCTTTCTTAGAGATTTAGTTCCAACCCCAGCCCCTTAGGAGGTTTTTCCTGGTGGGTCTGGCTGCCAGTGCCTCCCCTTCTTGGGTTAGCTTCTCTCTGCTCTGTATATATCTCGTACATATTTACTTACTCCCATGTTGTTCCCTCTATTAGAAGGCAAGTTCCTTGAAAGCAAAAGCAGCTTTTCCCTTCTTTGTATCCAGAGCTTAGCACACTGCGTGATGCATAGTGAGCCCTTTGTCAATGTTTATCAACCGACTGACTGACATGGGAGAAAATTTCTGAGCTAAGTTTTGGAAGCGACTAGGTGGAACTGAAGTTGGGGTGAGGGATGAATGCTTTCCAGGCGTGGAGGACAGCCTAGGCAGAGTCACAGAGGAGGGAGCATCAGTGTGCAGGGAACAGTAAATGGGCTCATTTGCCTAGAACTTAGAGTAGCAAGGGGAAATAATTTGTAGTAAGACTGAAAAGGTGAGCTAAGCCTGACTATGAAAAGCTCTAAATGTCAAACAGAGAACTATGTATCCTACCCTAGAAGCAATAGTGAGGTCTTGAAGTTTCTTGAGTAAGTGAGTGACGTGGTCAGACTTGTTCCAAATATAGAATCCAGGAATTAATTTCCAGGCTCCCGGCACTGTGGTTTAGGCCCAGAAGACTGTACAATTTCTCCCTGAAGGATGCCCTGGGTCATCACATGGGCTGGCATGTGTTACTACTTACACAGCCTGCCTGTCATCTGCAGTCCGTATACATTCCAGGGGCGTAGCTGGATGGGATCCATCAGGAATAACCAGCGATTCCCAGAACGCTGACTTCCATGTTCACCAAATTGATAGCAGGTGCCTGATCAGGGCCACGGGGAGGGAAGAAAAGTGTATGTCTTTGTGTGTGTGAGTTTTTTTTTTTTAAAGAAAAAGAATTAATATCACACGTCAAACTTGTTTCTGAGCGGCGCAATGAAATGTAATGTGACATGACGTAACACAAATGTGATGAGTACACGAATATCTAATCATCTCATCATGGACGGGAGGCAGCTGATGGCAAGGGAGCAAATTAGAAACTGCTGAGCACCGCGGATCACTGACGGCCCCCATTATTTTTCAGCAGCTCTGCACATTCAGACATGAAAATATTCCTGACAAGCAGTGATGGAGAGAACCCAAAGGGTCAGAGGTTCGGTTAACCCTTCTCAGATCCAAGTCCCTGAGGCCTGCTGGGCTTCGAAGGGAATCTTGGACATGCAGCTCTGTGGCCAGAGCAGAGTCGATGTGTAGCTTCGTTCTTGAGCGGTCCCTAGAAAAAGCCTTCTAGGGCCATCTTTGCGAGCCGTGACTCAGAAAAGCTGTGTAGTGTAAGGGAGGGTTGGTAGTCATGTGGGATTTAGAATGGGAAGGAAACAGGGATCACACAGTCAAACTTGACAAAATCACCGAATTTCAGACCTGGAAGGGATCTCAGTGACCAACCCCAGGATCGGAGCTGGAAGGACTTTGGTGAAGGGAAGAAGAAAGGGAACGAGCCTTTATTAAGCACCGATTATGTGCCAAGAGCTGTATTAAGTGATTTACAAATATTATCTCATTTGGTTATCTCCTAGAGATGTGAGAGTTCATTGCCTTCTTTTCACAGAGAGCAAACAGACCCCGAGGGGTTAAATCACTCGCAGGAAGTGATGCAGGAATTAGCATTATTCTTTCTGACCTCAGAGGACAGAAATGGGAGCACTGAGTAAAAGTTGAAAAGAAGCAAATTTAGACTTGATATCAGGAAAAAAAATTGAGAATAGCTATCCCAAAGTGTGATGGACTGACTTGAGAGCCAACAGTTTGTAAATGACAGAGCTGGATTCAAACCCAGGTGCTCTGACTCTAAATCCGATGTCTTTCCACTCTAGCCAGGAAAGAATCCTTATCCCTACCTACTCCACAAGTTGGCATCTAACCCCTGTTGGAAGACCCCTAATGAGAGGGAATTTAGCACTTTTTTGAGGCATCCTACTCAACTTTTTTGTTCTATGGTACCTGGAGTCCCCGGAGGGTTCTGGTGATTAGGAATCACAGAATCTCTAGAACTGGTGTGAGTCTTGGGGTTCGTCATTCAGTGCCCCTGTTTTACAGAAGTGGAAGTTGAGGGTGAGAGAAATGAAATGACCCACTTGGGGTCACATAACTGTGTGGCAGATCTGTTCTCCTTCTTTACAACTCACAGTATTCTATTGTATTTCTATGACTTGGCTGGAGAAGCCAGCACCAAGCCAGAACCAAGAAGCCAGCCCACAGTGCTACTTAGGGACTCCGAGAATTTCATTTCTGACCAGAGGATGTCTCCATGTGCCACCCAGCACCAGGTCTTCCATTGCAGATTTATCACATAGCTGATGGAGGAGAAACAACAGTGATTCCTTTTGGACATTTCCCCTTTCCCAACTACCCCTCTAGTTGGACTATTTTGGATGGGAGCCCAGTTGCTAGGTTTCATTTTCACAAAACAGTTATTGTTAGGAAAATGCATAATGAAAAGGCACAGATGGGAGAGAGCAAGGGAGGAGTTTGGGGACAAGGAAGAAGGTAAGGGATTCTTTCTATGCCTCTGGGGCAGAAAGAATAAGAATGTAATGGCTCATACATTGTCTAATGGACATTTCCAGTTCTGAGACTGACAGAAATTTAGAGCCAGAAGGGACTTTAGTGGCCATCTAACCTGACCCACACCCTCTAAAAGAAGCCCGGCTATGCCACATGTGACAAACAGGGCCTCAGACTTTTATTTATGCCCTCCAGTGATAAGAACTCCCATGGCAGCCCCTGGCACTAATTCAGTACTAAAGTTGGAGCCAGAGGACCTTGGTTCAAATTCTGATTTGTCACTTTTGTTTTTGCCTGTGATCTCAGGCAGATGATGATTAAGGTCCTTTCCAGCTATAAATCTCTGATTCATTGTAAATATTCTGGGGGAGGGGTGGAAGCAGATGGAAGGGTGAAGAGAATTAAGGGTGGACCAAAGGGGCTGATGAAATGAAAGATACTCTAGGAAAAATGGCCCTATCTCATAACTAAATGAGTGTTCTTGGCTTAATATTTGTTCTTGTTGGTGTACTGTGTTCAGTTCTGTTCTTTATCGAGAGGGATATGGATGCATTGTTAGGAGGAAGGCAATGGGGATAGTGAAGGGCCATGAGCCCATGCTGTGTGACACAGGGCTGAAGGACCTGGGAATGTTTAGTCTAGAGATGGGAAGGCTTCCCGGGAATATGATTGCCCCACCTTCAAGCACCTGGAAGGCTGTTATACAAGAGAGGAATCTGAATTGTTCTTTTTGGCCTCAGAGGATAGAACTAGAAACAATGAGTGAAGGTTAAAAGAAGAAAATTTAGGCTTGATATCAGCAAAAAAAATTTACTAAGAGTTGTCTCAAAATGTAGTGGGTTGCTGAAAGAGCTAGTAGTTTCTCTCTCTTTGGAATTCTTCAAGCAAAAGCTGGATAACCACAGGCAGGGATATTGTAGAGAGAATTCCTAGGGTGCAAGGCTTGGACTATGCTAGATGGCTGCTGAGTTCTCTCAACTCCTGGGCTTTTTTTCTAAGTTAGTTTTAGTGATTCAAAGCAAAAAGCAAAAGCCTCTTGCTGGCCAAGCAAGCCCACTAGGGCATCCAAGGCAGGGCTAGGAGAAAGGAAAGAAACATGAAACCTGATCTTTCTCTGGCGATGTGCGGCATCTTTTGTTACTTGATCCAGTCTGACCTTTCAACAAGCTCTTGCAGCAACCCCCCGAGACAGTGAAAGAATGGGCTAAGTAAGGGAAGGTGCTTCATGCTTTGAAAGGAATTTAGAGGTTCAAGGCAAAAATATCCACGTGAGAAATTGACTGGCCAGAGTTCTAGTTCCTCGTACCCAGTAGGTGCTTAATAAATTCTTGTTGGATTGGGCTGGATTGATCCAGGAAATGCATTAGCCCATCTCAAGACAGCAGTAATCAAGCATTTCAGCAGATGATCACAGCTTGTCAGGGTAATACCCAACACTGTGCGTCTAATGCTCTTGCCAGTTTCCCTCAAGGAAAAAAAGAAAGGAAAAAAATCCTTGCACTCTGGGATAATCAGTCTGGGTTGCTATAACTCCAGATCATCAGGGAGGGTCTGGAATTGAACCACCGTTATTGAAAAGTTACATCGATTCGCTATAAAGTAATACAGGCAAAAATAATTATGGCTTTGCTAGCTGTGTAAGACCTTAATCCAGATCTCACAAACATTCAATAAAGGCTGGAGACAAGCAGAGAAATAGGCTACCAAAGACTCTGCCCAAGAGGGTTAGCTGGCATTCAGAAAAGAAACAAATGGGGAGAAGGGAGGGTGAGAAAGAGAAAGAAAGGAAGAAAGGGAGGAAGGACTAAAGGAAGGAAGAAAATAAAATCAGAAAGATGGGAAGAAAAAATTGAAAGGAAGAATAACAGGAAGGAAGGAATGAGATGAATGAAAGAGGAAGGAAGGAAAGGAAGGAGGGAGGGAAAGAAAAAAGAAAAGAAAGGAAGGAAGAAGGAAAGAAAGAAGGAACAGATAAGATGAAGAAAGGAAAAAGATCAATGGGGAAAGAAAGATGGAAGGAAAGAGAGAAAAAGGAAAGCTAGAATTAAGGAAGGAGAGAGATAAATGAGAAAAAGAAAGAAAAAAGAAAGGAAGGAGAGAAGAAAGGAAGGGAGGAGAAAAATCAAAAGAAAGTAAGAGGGAGAAAAGCTATTAAATTATTTACCTTAAAGCCTAATAAAGAGCAATTCCTCTGCAAAATGTTTCTACTCCAGTTAATAAGGTGCGATGCACTGAGATGTACTGAATATATCCAGAAATCTGTTCAAATTAAGCGATAGACATGGCTTATTGTAAAGAAAAAGGGTTGTCACTTCCCAAGGATCCTTAAATTGTATTAATTTGCAGCTGGTTAAGCAGGACTGGAGCAGGGTCTTTCCCTCGATAATCCTTCTCTTGGGCCATGGCCAGCTACCTGGCTCCCAGAGCTGAGCAGGGGCCAGGAGGAAGGAGTGCTCTGCACCCTCCAATCCACCCTAGATCCCAGCTCTCCCAGAATTCCTTTCACTAGCCAGATGAGGAGTTAGCTGTCCACTGCAAAGGCACAGAGGGGGAGGGAGGAAGGCTCCTAAATTAGGAACTAAATTAGAACCTCCATTCCAGTGGGTCAACACTCATTACTGAACATCCCAGATTGGCAGCAAACTGTCAAAGGGGAATGTGCTTGTTAAAAATAACCAATCACATTTCTGCTAAAAATAAATGCGAGGGCCAGAAAGTTAGAGCTGATTAAACAGGAAACTCAGGGCCTAAGTGAGCTCATATGCGTGATTTTTGCTCCTTTCCCTTATGATCCAGTAGAAGCCATCTGGGACAACAAATGGAAGTGGGTTTTCCTCATTCATTCACTCATTCATTCAACAAATGTACAGAACGTTGTTGTAGGAAATGGGAGAAGGAGCAAAGTGTACTCAAATTTGCCTTTGACTTCATGGAGCTTTTCAACTCACAAGTGTGGGGAGAAGTGGTGAGCTCCCCGTCACTGGAGGTCTTCAAGTGAAGTCTAGAAGACTATTTATTCAGGGGATTCTTGGCTATGTGCAGGCTGTACTTGAAGTCCTCTGAGGTCCTTTCTAGCTGATACCCTACTAATAGAGAACAAGCCTGGGTTTGCATTCATTTCTTTACTATGCGTCTGGTACAAAGATTCTGCCCCTGTGTGGGAACTCCTGGTGTGAAAATTCCCTCCACCAAAGCAGGTCAACAATTTGTCTGTTCTACCAGTCTTAGAGAGCTGTTATACTGAGATGGGAACTGACTGACCCAGGGTAACAACTGAACTTCCATCTTCCCGACTCCAAGGTTACTCTATCCACATGTCATACTCCTTTTGAGGAATTAGCATCCCTAACAGGTGACCAAACCACCTGGCTCACTGGCAGAAACATCCTTTGTAAATTGGCAAGTGTTCTAGAAATGTGAACTGAGCCATGAACCCCCGAGACAAAGAGAGCCTTGTGTAAATGCCACAAAAAGGTGTTAGAGGCTCTGGGTTCAAATCCTACCTCTGGCACTTGCTGTGTGACCTTGGACAAGTCTCTTACCCTCTGGTTTCTCATCTCAACACATGAATTATTGCCATAATATCTAGTTTAATTTTTGTCTGTCGGAAATGAGGCAATTTATCGTATTAGTGAACATAGTGTTATAGTTTGGGAGGGCTATTGTAGTTTTCTTTATGGTGAAATCTACATTTCCTAGTTTCCTAGTTTTATTTAAATCTTGACTATTCTTTTTTTGTACATATACATTATATATATTTACATATGTCTATGTTAGACTGACAGTTGAATATATAGTTTTATGTTTTCCCTTTTAATTTAGTTGGTTTTTCAAAAGGTAGTTTTGAATGTGTCCATCTAAAATCCACAACCAGTGGCTTATCTTTCATGGCTTTTACTAAAATGTGTGGTTTAAATCTGTTTGGGGGCAGTCCAAAGTTATGTAGTGGGGAGAGAGGGGTATTCTAGACAGAGGTCCTGTATCAGCACCCTGCACTCTGTGAGTACAAAATAAATACGATCTGATTAATTTGAGAGGAAGGAACAACAAGAAAAAATGAAGGGGATATGCTAAAATGCCCATCCCCCTACTCTAGATTTATGGCTTCTGTACGGACTGAAGTCACCCCTTCTTTGATAAATGATTGCTAATATCAATAAAACACCTATGTCTTCTTTAAGGTAGTGGTGGTGGTGGTGGTGGAGGCTCTTTCTTCTTGCCTTCAATGGACACCCTGCAAAGAAATGTGCCACGGACTCATGCCTTTGTCTGCTCTTTGTTTTCAGCCATGACCGGCCTCGTTGTCCCCCCGATGTAAAGAAAAGGAAGAGTTGCGTCTCAGAACACACAACTACTTCATGTGATGGACCACTAATATAGAAAGCACTAACTGCTCTTGGAGGGCTGTCATGCCCCCCAAAGGAACACTCTGTATGGATTTGGATATGCAAGGAGCCTGCATCTTACCTGGTCTCATGTCTCTCCTGTAGCTGAGAGATCGGCTGCCCAAACTCCAACCCCATTAGTGGACAAGGACAGGTACCGTCATTGGCATGCATGGTCAGTACTAAGGACAGAAATGTGGTTCTTTCTTTATGGACTTGATGAAAACCACCTTCCTATGTTTGTAAAATATTTAAGAAAAAAAAATTGGCAAACAATTCAAGCTCGATATTTTGGATACTATTTGTTTTTCTTTGTAGGAAAAAAAGTTGAAAGTTTCTATTTTCTATGAAGCCTTTCAGATACCAATTTAGTTTATGCAGAAAAAAAAAATTTGAACAAAACAGGGTACCCGCATGGAAGACTTTCTTAAAACAAAACCTGAATCGAATGATGATGATATGTTGTTGTATGTGTGTTTGCTTATAGTTTAATCTCTTTAAAAAACAAAAAACACAAAAAAAGGAAAAATTTTAAAATGTTTTACAATTATTTAAATAAATAAATGTGTAACTTATTGTAAGTAGAGGTAGAAATTAAGACCTTTTTGGAAAGGAGGGACATTTTCTCCTCCTCTTGTACAATGAAAATGATGCAAAACTGTAGTTCCAAGATAAAAAAAAATAAGGTGTGTGATTGTTACCATTGCTATTTCCTGGATGCCCACTCCTGTCCTCTCCACATCCCCTCCCCTGTTCCATCCTTGCATAGATCCATATGCAAGGACTGCGGTAGCCCACCTGTATTCTTTCAGAACCATACAACATTTAAAGAAAAGCCAAGCACAAATCCAGAAATACAGAAGAGCAGCAGGGCTGGTCCAGCTAAGTCTGCTTCCCAAAAAATCTGCATGTCCCTTTGAGTCTTTGCTTCCTATCACAATTTACCTGGGGTAGCTGTTTTTGACATTCCCTGCCAAAGGCCACCTAGGATTCTCGCACTTTGTTATGGTCCAAACCCCATCCAGTTTTTCAAGGGCAGGAACAGCAGGGGAAGGGAATCTTCTTGCCTGAGAGAGGATCCAAAATGGATAAAACCTCTTCGGAACAGGACCATGTTGGGGTCCAGTTTCCAGATCACTAGCAACTGTAACTTCAGTCCCCTTAGGCGACCCCTCCAGTGACTCTCCTCCATCTGCTCTGGTTGGCCATCAGAGCTCATCGGCAATGATTGATTACTCGCCTCCTCTGAAGGGTGGAAGGCGCCTGAGTGCCCATCTCTCAGGAGTTCCATCTTTCTTTACCCCTCTCATACTTTTCCATTCAGAGAATCACAGTATCCAAAGCTGGAGGGGTCCTCATAGGTCAGCTAGTCCATTTTACAGATCAGGAAACTGAGGCACAAGAGGTTCATAAATCATAGATGTAGAGCTGGAAGAGGAAACTGAGGCATAGAGAAATACATACGTTCATAGAACTAAAGGTAGAAGAGACTATATACTCTAACCCCTTCAATTTGTAGCTGAGGCACAGAGAGGTTCATGGATTGAGAGATCTGTTTTTTGACAAGCATTTCTTAACCACCTCCTATCTCTCAGGGGACCTCAGAGACCCCCTTGTATAATTCTATCATTTTACACACTTTGTTTATAGACTGAGGCACAGGGAGGCTGATAGGGTTATAGATTTAGACCTGCAAGGGACCACAAAAGGAATCTAGTTTAATCCTGTAATTTTACAGATAAGGAAACTGAGACCCAGAGTAGTGATGAGATTTGCTCAACCTCACCCAAGGACTTTCTATACAGCTTCAGGGATTCTGGCGTACTCTGAAGACCTTTTCTCATCGGAGTAAACAGAGTCAGAATTCAAACCCAAGCTTATGGACTTCAAATCCAATGTTCTTTGCAACCCACCAGTTGCCCTGGCACTAAACTCACTGGGTAAAAAATGAATAATTCAGAGGTTCTCCTCCCATTCCTCAACCCCACCCCCCAGTGGAGAAGTGAGGGGAACATTTTAAAACCCAAGTAATGTTGGGGTTCAAAAGGCTGAATATCAGCAGCTTCAAAGAATCCTTGAGGAGTGCAGTTTCCTTACTGCTCAGCTATTTGTCCACTGTTCTCTTTGGATGATTGGCTCTCTTGTTAGGAAGGACCTGGCACTGTTGCTAAGAAGTCAAGTCTGAATGAAACTGTGCTCAAAAACTAGTGACTCTTACGACCCACTTGACCTTACCTGGGATGCCAGCCCAGGTGGTGTTTCCTCCTCTGTGCTGCCTAGCTTCCTCATTCGCTCCCTGGCACCACTTAAGCGTGCCCGCAGAGCTCATTTAGAGGATACTCAGCTGGGGTCTGGATGACATTAGTTCTTTCCTGTCCCAATGGAGAAACACACTTAAATTGAGTGCATCTAGTCTGAATTGGGGTAATATTTTTAAAAATCAATTCCTCATTCCTTTTCCAAATCCACATTTTCATATCCCCCCCAATCCAATCCCATTTCACTCTTTCCCCTTAGCTCCATTCTGGAAATACCACCCCCCACCCAACCAACCCAAATGGGATTTTCATGCACCATGAAAATTCAAGGTTTTGGATAGTTGGCATGCCTGGAAGTGCTGTTGACAGTAACACGCTTTGAAGAACCAAGTTGCAAAGAAACACACCCGAAAAAAGTCCCCTGATGCAAAACGTTTTAGAGAGGAGGAGGGATATCAACAGAATTGTCCAAAAACGAAGGCAGAACAAAAATGAAGCACGTCTGGACCTGGATTTGAGCCAATCTGACATAAGGGGAAAAAAAATTTAAGTAGCTTTGCTTTAGAATCTGTGAATTTTGCTCTTGCATGAAGATGAGTGCAGTGCTGTCTTCAAATGATCGTAGAACTTCGTGGTAGCTTTACACCGGGAAAAAAAAATGTGTGTAATGAAATACCCAGAAACCCTTGATCACTCAGCTAGGACCTTGGCCGCAACAGGAATATTTAAATGTACAAATCGGTGTGTAAGGATTTTGTAGTGTAATAAACGAAAGCAACTCTCTCCTTTCTAGTCCTTGCTGTTAAATACTCCTGATCCCAGCTTCGTTTGTGCCACTTGGAATACAAGTATTTCTATAGGAGAAGACAGATTTATCATAGCTTTGTAAGAGGAACTGTGTGGGGTTGTGTTTTTTTTTATTAAAGGGATATTTTATTTCATTATTTATCTCGTTTTCATTATAGCATCTTAAATTCTCCCTTTTTTTCTTTGCACATTTCAATATGCATGGTTTCAAAACCGTCCTCCTGCTTCCCTTTTGTAAAGTCTCATTTCCCAAATTCTATTGTTCGTTGGGTTGTTTTGCTTTGTCAATTATATACAGTATAAAGTTGCTATGCACAGAGCTTTTTGTAAAGATTGCTTTTTTTTTTTGGTTTTGTATTTTGTTTTTGTTTTTATTTTTTTGTTTACTGTTTTTAATGGTCTTACTTATGGAAGAATATCTTGTTTGTAAAATGAATATGTCTACTTCAGTTTTAAACTTTAAATTATCCTAACAAAAAAAAAATAAAATTTTTGTACTGTACCAGGTGTTGGATCTTTGCTTGTTCTGAAACAGGAGAGTTTCAAAATCTAATCTATTCCTTTTCACTTTTATAAACTGTAATGGAAAGAGGACAAACTTAGGGCCTTTGAGGTGGAAGAGCAGGCAAAAGAGGCAGTTGCCTAAAGCACCATGTGTAAAGGGGTTTTACTGAGGACCCTTTAAGATGTGACTTGATAAATATGCATGTTTTTAGTGTCTGAAAATTATGGTCTTCAATGCAATTCAATCTAGTCCAATTCAACTCAATCCAATCCTATACATCCTGACCCATCCCAACCCAACCCAAACCAATTTAGTCCAGTACAATCCAATCCAAACCGCTCCAGACCAACCCAACCCAATACAATCCAGTTAAACGAGCATTTAATATCCACTAATGTCCAACATTAGTTGCTGGGTGCTGGGAATAGAAAAACAAAACAAAACAAAATAATTCTTGTCCTCCAGGAGCTTATATTTATAGACTTATCTGTATGTATGGAAACAGCTTACATACAGATAAGTCTATAAATGGTAATATGATGCAGAGGGAAAAAGCCCAACCAACTAAAGGGATTGGGGAAAGTTTCTCCCAGGTGGTGGTGACGTAAGAACTAAGCCTGGACATAAATGAAAGATTTGAAGAGTTGAAGGCAAGAGGGGACAGCATTCTTTAGAATGATGGTTTTAGAGCCCAAAAGGACCTTTGAAGTCATCCAGGAGAATCCACCATTTTATAGATGAATAAACTAAAGGCCAGTAGGGTTGAATGACTTGTGCAAGGTCACACGGGTCTGGGATTCCAATGGATGTTTTTTTGACTTCTATTCTTGGGGTCTTTCCTCAGCACCATTATTCTATACAAAGGGGATGGCTTGTGTAAGAGTTCAGTAACAAGAGTGCATGGCCAAATTCAGGGGGCAGTTAACTAGGCCAGTTCAGCTGCAGTTGAGAATTGAGAAGGAGACTAACATGAAATCACCCTGGAATGGTCAGCTGGAGCCAGACTGGGCAGGGTTTGCAATGCTCAACAGATCATTCTTATCATATTCTAGAGGCAGCAGGAAGATTCAGGCCAATTGGACCAGCAGCTTAGGACCTGTCATGCAATGGGGGACCATGAAAAGCACGTTTAAGTATGACTCTTTGCAAATACACGTATTTTTCACATCAGTAAATTTGTCTCCGTTCTGTGGAGAAAACAAATCAATCAACATTCAATAAGCATTTATTAAATGCTTACTGTTCCCTCACATGGGAGTTGTCTATCCTCATATAGTCACAGTTTCAGCAGGCACTTTGCTAAGCACTGGGGATGCAAAGAATGGCCAAAAAAAAACTGTCCCTGAAAAATATCTTAGGGGGGAAAGCACCACAGGTGGAGGACCAGGAAAGGTCATCTAATTGA